GGAGGGGAGGAGGGGGGGCGGCACTGACTGCACGCAGACAGCCTGACAGACTCTATGTTTTAAATGCAACTATAAGTGGAAAAAAAAGAACTGATCAGAAGTAAACAAGTTTAAATCCACTCCCAGTGCGTAAAAGTTGAGCTCTCACCTTGACAACGTCGTCGTTGATGCGCTTCGGGTCCCGGTTGACCAGGTCTATCTCCTTGGTGTGGACATCCTCCAGCGCCTTCTCGTTCAGACTGTCGTTGTCCATGTCCTTGTTGTTGGGTTTGTAAATGTTCCCCTGCTTTCGGATGAACGGCGAATGCGGAAACTCCTGCGAGGACCGAGGAGAGGTGGAGAGAGAGAGAAAAAAAAGAGAGAGAGAGCGGTGAGGAGGAGGAGGAAGAAGAAGAAGAAGAAGAGGGGAACGGTGCGCTGCGCGCTGAGCGGGGAGCGAGACTGGAGCTGAGAACTGAACCAGCCTGCCCCACATAAAAAAAAAAAAACAGGGATGGGTTTCAGATGAAGAGAAAAGTGAAGCACCACACCCCTGTGTTCAGCCGCAAGGGGTCCTCACCCCCCCAGGCTGGAGCTGAAACGAGCTGCTCCCACTGTGGGCTGGGTCTACCTGCGAGCCTGGAAACACCCAGCAGCGCGTAAAAGCGCACGAGAAATAAACAGATAAATCGATAAATATAGAAATACATATTATTCCACCTGAGTACACTGTGTTATAAATAAACAGACTTATAGTCATCAGGCTCGTGCATGTGTGAAAATATGCAAACATATGTTGGATTTCCGTGTTTCTCTGCGTGCGTAAAGACGCTCCTGTCTTTGTCGTCCAGCTTTCTCCCCACAAGCCCAGTTTCATTCATTCTCATTATAGGTTTTAGGTAATTTACGACCAAAATTACAAGTTAAAAGAGTTGCAGAATAAATCCATTAGCTTATAAGGTAATGCGTAAAGTATGGAGCAGTTTGATGTCCCTCTGCTCATGTTGGCAAAGCTTCAGGAGAAACAATCATCCCCAATGAAGGCAGAAAAAGCTGTGAAGTAGAATACTGTACCTCCTCAGTTCCGTCCTTCAGTTCTCCTGTCATTCTGTCCGCAGCTCTGAAGGAGTCTTCTCGTTCACGCACAAGAAGGAAGCAGAGTGGGAGGCGTGAGTTAAAAAAAAAAACCTGCGCGGGACTCAGACTCGCTTCAAGAGGATCTAATCCCTGCCCTCAGCTCTGACTGCAGAGGAAAACCAGGTCGAACTGGGAGAAACCTGCGGCGGTTCTTCCAGAGCGCGTGTCCACCTGGAGCAGGAAGGGTCTCCCAGAGCCGGGCTGCGCGAGCTGCAGCCAGGGAGGAGAAGAAGCTCTTTGTTCGCTGAGATGTGGGCGTTAATTGGGACAGACAAGGTGTGGACATGCACGCGCCTCAACCCGGCGCGGAGGGGGAGCAGACAGAACAGACCCCAAACTCATCAGTAAATTAAAACTGTGTTTTTGTTTATTAACAAACAAACAAACAAACAAACAAACAAACAAACAAACAAACAAACAAACAAACAAACAAACAAACAAACAAACAAAACAAAACAGTTTATGATGTCACTCATTGAGTGAAGAATTCACGTTTAAAGGTTCTGGTGAACACGTCTCTGCTGCTCCGTGTTTACAGGTCTGCTTACATTCTCACCTCTCAGCTGGCGGGGGTGCGCGCGCGCGCGCGTGCGATGGGCGTGTCAGCGGAACAAGTCGACCTGGCCTCAGAGATCAGGTTGTTTACTGATATGCTGCTGTTCTCCTCATGTTTCCATCTGTTCTCTGAGTGTGTTTTTATGCTGCGAGTTTTTACACGATGACAACACATTTGTCTAAAACAAAACACTAAAATCAAAGAACAAAGTCTGATTTGAGCCACATGACTCAGCTCTGTACAGAGCTCCTGCAAACGGTCTCATTCATTTTGTACCGTCAAAGTTAAAGCATCAGAAAGTTCCCTCAGTGCTCAGGTGAAACAGATCAGCTGTGAAAACACAACAGGCAAAATTCAAATTGTTATAATTTCTGCTGAGTTAAATGACAAAAATGATCTTTATTGAATCTAACAGAGTAACTCTGCTCAGAGAAGAAAACTATTTCAATAAAAACATTTCTCCTGCAGGAGGGTGTGCCTGAATGATAGTGTGTGTCTCACTGTGTTTTTGCATTTATGTCTTTCTGTGTGTGTGTGTGTGTGTGTGTGTGTGTGTGTGTGTGTGTGTGTGTGTGTGTGTGTGTGTGTGTG